ATCAACTCACCTCCGAAACAAGAATGGCATTGACGAGGGTGACAGCACTCACGACACAATTCCCGTGCAGTCACGGACAGGCAGGCCCTGCGATGCGGGCCGGGGAGAAGCGGTGGAGGCCGCGCTGCAGAAGGCCCCGGCTCCACATGCCCCCTCCCCCTCTCCCCCTCTCCCCCTCTCCGGTGTGGCAGAGGGGTGCGCAGAAACGCCCTCCACACCCCACAAATGAATGCTCCAACTGTTCCACACAGGCCGCCTGGGACATCGTCCAGGCACTCCTTCTGAATCACCAAATCCCAAAAGAAGTTCAGAAATCTCTTTTCAAATCAGCAGAAATAGGATTGGGGGCGGGGGTGGAGATTACTGTGTACAAGCTCTATGATGGTGGGTTTTGTTTTGTTTTTTTAAGATTTTATTTATTTATTTGACAGAGAGAGACACAGCGAGAGAGGGAACACAAGCAGGGGGAGTGGGAGAGGGAGAAGCAGGCTCCCCACCGAGCAGGGAGCCCAACACAGGACTTGATCCCAGAGCCCTGGGATCATGACCTGAGCCCAAGGAGAAGCTTAACGACTGAGCCACCCAGGCGCCCCTCTGCGCTGGTTTTGAGGACTAGTCCAACCAGCAACACCTGACACGCTCCTCGCTCACACCACGTAATCACATGGTGAGAGAGGAGCTGATGCCCCCTCCACAAGTAGTATGTTGTCCCGAGGGCCCGGGCCACACTGGCTGCCTCCAAAGCCCGTGCTCCTAACCGCTAGCCTCCTGACCTGCCACTCAGAAGAAGCATTTCCAGGGACGCCTGGGTGGCTCAGTTGGTTAAGTGCCTGCCTTTGGCTCAGGTCATGATCCCAGCGTCCTGGGATTGAGCCCCGCATCGGGCTCCCTGCTCGGCGGGAAGTCTGCTTCTCCCTCTCCCTCTGCCTGCCACTCCCCCTGCTTGTGCTCTCTCTCTGTCAAATAAATAAATATTAAAAAAAAAAAAGCATTTCCAGAGGACAGAGAAACACAACATTTGGATGTACACCTTATATGAAGATGTCTTAAGGTGGATTCAAATGTAGAGATGAACGAGTCTTAGGACACCAAGCAAAATCCCACAGAAAGAGTGCCCTACGGATAGGGCAGGGATTGATGAAGGACCAGACAGTAAACATTTGGGGCTCTCTAAGTCCCTGTGGCAACTACTCAGCTCTAGCCATTATAGTGCAAAAACAGCCACAGACAAGAAACAAAGGGGTGAGGAGGGTTCCAAACACTTTATCTCTAAAAAAAGGAGGCTCAGCCAAGGCGAGCTTGCTGCCCAGGCCTTAGACCATGGGAGTCCTGCGGAATTGTTGAGTCAAGGAGAGACATGACCTGATTGATGAGTATTTTAGACTGAACTATGGGGACTACCGAAAGATGGAATCAGCGTGCTTTAGATGTCCTCTAAAATCCTGGTTTTACCATGCTTCTGTTATTCCAGTTGTTATGAATAAATGGGAGTGGTTCTGTTTCAATCAATGTTTATTTATGCAACCTAACAGAGGTTCAAATTTGACCCACAGGTCACAGTTTGCTGAACTCTTCTGCTCTAGGATCTCAGGTCAGGGATTCTAAAAAATCAGTAATAATCTGAAGTCAGCTACTAGGATTCCTCAAATACCTGCCCCAGCTACTGAAGACACATTTATAGCATCCTAATAGGCTCTGATCATGCTAAATGGGGATGGGAGAAAGAAGGTGTTTTTTTCTCTCTTTTTTTTTTTTGGTCTAATAATGGGATTGACTCAGAGCAGACACAGATCCTAGCCATACAAGATCAGCTCTTTGCTCTCTCAGGGCAGGCATCTAGGCATGCTCTGTACATGGGCTGCCTCTGTGACAGAAAAAGAGATTGCAAACCACTGGCTCAAGCATCCTCACCCCCACTGTGCCAGCCTAGCTAAACCACTGAATATCCTGTGGTCTTTGCATCTCCTGACATCAACCACCAGAGCTACCTGGCTGTTGACATGCCCACCACTGGTACCGATGGACTCCAGGGGAAGCACACACCGTCAGAAAGGCTCTCCAGCTTCCCATGACTGACCCTGGACCGCATCATCTTGCTCAATCCCAGTCGTTGGTGCCCAGAACTGAGAAATGGAGGCCAGGCTGTCAAATTTTTAATAACAAAAACTAGCTGTCTGCTTGGGAACATCCCTAAGAAGATGCTGTTAGTGTTTTCGGTTTCACTCTTAGTGTGGCGGTCCTCCAAGGTTGGGGGGGGCAGTTTTGCACCCCACCCCCCATGTCTGGACACATTTTTGATGGTCACACTAGGGGGGTGCTATTGGCCTCTAGTGGGTCCAGGTGCCAGACATGTTGCTCAGCGTCCTACAGCACGTGAACAGTCCCCACAACAAAGAATTATCTAGCCCCAAATGCCAAGAGTGCTGACGTGACAAACCCTGTTTTAGTGGTATTTCGCCACATGATGGTCCCAGTGCGTCGAGGACATACGCATAGTCCAATTAAATTCCACAGACTCAGCCCCAAAGAGCACTTTGACTGACATGCCGAGTCGATGAGACGCAAGAGAAAAGCAGCAGCGTGTGTTACATCTGCTGACGGGGCCTGCTGGGTTGTTTCTTTGCTGTTTTTGAGAAAAAGAATGACTTTGCTAAGGTTCACCTGGAACCCAGTTTTGTAGTTCCTCTGAGCTCCAAACTCCTACGCGGTGGCCAAAATTCTAACAGACTGCTCTGGGGTTCTGCTAACTTTCTACAGCATATAGTGTCTGCGAGGTTGAAAGCTAAGACCGCATCACTGCTCCCGAGAACGTCGAGGAAGCCTAGCCTAGGAGATGCTCGGCAGAACAAAGGAAATAGAAACACTCAAAACAACCAGGAAAATTTAAAGTCTACAAGTTTACCATTTGTGGGGTTTCTTCTTTCCCCTGGAAAAGGTTTGACAGACTGAGATCAACAGAAGGAGGAAATTACTAACGGACTGACTACTCCTCTCTCTCCCAAAATACTTAACATGGAACGTACCGAACCAGAAACTTAAAAACAGCGTCCACTTTACTGGCTATATTTATTTGTTGCACATGAGTGACATTAATGGTGACAGTTTCATTTACTCTTTCTGATGGTTTATCTGTGGTATTTGAGAACTATTACAGAAGACTGAAGTCAATGAGTAATTTTCAAATGCACCCTCTGAAAAACTACCTAGTTGTTTTTCAGTGTGGGTTCTCAAACTGGAGTCTCATTTTTTAATCCATCAGATCAAAAAAAGAGGGGGGACATTTATTTAGACATGTTGAAAGCCAATGCCTATAGACACCGCCAAATCAGATAGATTAAAAGCAGAGAAGTGTGATCATTCCAACAGTAGGCACTGAAAAAGAATTTCCACATTGTGTGTTCAAAGCAACCATTTTCAGGGCGCCTGGGTGGCTCAGTCGGTTAAATGTCCGACTCTTGGTTTCAGCTCAGGTCACGATCTCAGGGTCATGAGATCGAGCCCCGTGTTGGGCTCCTCTCTGGGCCCGGGGCCTGCTTAAGACTCTCTCCATCCCCTTTGTTTCCCTCCCCACTCCACCTCTCTAAAAAAAAAAAAAAAAAAAAAGCAACCATTTTCTCCTCACCAAAAATTTATATATGAAATTTAAAAGTAACCAAATTTCCTGGATCCTTTCAAAAACAAAAAAAAAAAATTATGTAAAACTAAGTATGATTTCCTGCATTTGAACTCAAGCTTCCAACTGCTGCTGATCATTTTCTAGAAAACACCATATGAACTCCATATACTTCAGAGTCCATGACCGATGGATCACAAGGTGGAACACCACCATTTTCCACCTCAACCAACCCCTTTCTTGCATCTCATTTATATTACACCTCAGGGTCCCAAACCCTGAGGCCACTAAGGTCTCTGTTCAGTGACTAGACTTGTCAGTGAGCAACAGGACAGGCCATGTTCTAGGGATTAAGTCCTTGGTCATTACAGGAGAGCTGGGAGGTGGGTTCCCCACAACACAGTAGGATCCAAATTTCATCTACAATTTCCGTTTTGTATTTGTGCATCTATGCTTTTTAAAGTATTTTGCATATATACGTATATTTTTGTGTGTATATATATAAAATAGCAGAAAGTATACACTGAGGTGTTAATTATGGTTATTTCCTAGAGTAGTAGATTTATATGTGATTTTCTTTATTCTTGGGGGTTTTATTTTTTGCACGTCTATAGCTTCCAACTTTTTCTATATTAAGCATAACTTTTGCCAAAAGAAAAATAAGTAATATTCTGTATGCATTCTTTTTTTTTCCACTCAACCTCATTTCTAAAACAGTTTTAGGTACCTGACAAAAAAAACCCAAAACACAAAAAAACATGTACAGTAAGACTTCTTCCAAAGTCAGGGCAGTTAGAGACAAGGGCAAGGAACAAGAGCAGTCAACTCTCAAGAAGCCAAAGAGGAAAGCTATTAGCCAGCACGTTAATCGCTAGTGTCCTACGTCCTGGTCTGAGGGAGACACACACTTGGCTTGGAGTTTCTCCCCACCCACCGCCCCCCCAGTCCTCATTCCTGCCCACATTCCTCCCCACCCTCCTTACCTCACCCCCACCCCACCTTAATTAAGTTTTGGTTTAGGGAAAGATAATGAGAATATTTTTCTACATTCCCTGATCATACTCCCAGATGAGATCATGCAATCCAGAAATGTGCTGAGGGAAGAAGAGCTAACTGCAAATCCAACCAAGAGCTCTAATAACTGTTCTGTCCCCCTGCTCCTGGGGCTGGGTGTTAGTCCCTGGGCACAAGAGCTTAGAGGCTCCCCAAGGGCGTGGCTTTAACTTTCTAGAAGTGTCCCTCTGCGTGCAACTCAATGCCGCAAAGTCAGTGGCAAAAGATGCACTCAATCCATGACAAAACCAAGGTGGCGAGGCTCTGGGGTCCTTTTGAGGCAAAGCCACACTCCATGAAGAAGCCCCAGGAGCCCCAGGAGCCCGGCGCTTACCGTACGCTGTCATGACGCCGGCATAGGGCCCATCCACCACATTCCGATTTTCCTCCGCCAGCGCCTTGATGTACCTCTTGCTGAGGTCCAGGATCTGCTCACGCAGCATGGAGCTGCTCTCGGGCTGAGTTCGCTGCTGGATGGTAAAATGCAGGAGCATCATACCCCAGATGAAGCCAAAAGTCACAAGAAAAAAGCCCAGCTTCTGAGAGGACAGCTTCCACGGAGTAAAGAGAGCCATTGCTCTCCAGCAACTTCACCTGCCCTTGGCTCCTAAAACGTAGAAGGAGGACACAAGTTCATGGTGCAGGCTGGATTTGTGGGCTCGTCGGTCTCACTCTGGCTCCTGCGTCAGCCGATTTCCTTTCCTCGTTTCCATCCTGCTGTGAAGAAGGGGGCAAGTTAGCAGAGTGGTCGTGGCAAAACACAGGGAAACCAACCAGGAGCCATGTTTTCACTCAAATAGCTCCAAAATGCGAACTTCCTTCTTTCTTAATTTGCTGGTTCAATATCTTATGTTATGATTCCAGATCTGTAAGCTGAGAGGGGAAATCTGGCTAGGCGACAAAAAAGCTGCACAAATACAGAGGAGGAAATGTGTGTCTGCCTATGTTAACAGGTGTAGCAGGGCTGTTCCAGTCTGGACCAAGTTCAAAACAGGAAGCTTGTTTTGCAAGGTGGGGAGGAGATGGAAGGATTTCACTGAATGTCAGCAAAAACCCAAGTGGAGGGCGGAGTCATAGCACCACTGGGTACTTCTGTGCATCTGTAATTGGAGCTTACAAAGTCATTAGTATGTGCTGTGGGGCAAGGATTAGCGCCTGCAGCTGGGGAGGTGAGCAAGAGAGTAGGCATCTCCTCAGGGGTCATTAGACCGGGAAAGGGGAGCAAGCCCCCATATTACGTAAGCACGGCCAGCTTGCATTAGCAGTGTCTGGAGAGAGATGAGCCAAAGCTCTCGGGGCCACCAAGCGGCCTCAACCTAGGCACCAGTGCAGAGAGGCTATGCCAGGGGTACCCAGCGGTCTTCCTGTTCGAGCTGCCACGCGTGAAAGAGGTACCCCACCGCTCATTTGCACATTTCAGTGCAGGAAACATGGGGCACATGATAGACTCCTTCCTGTAGTTCTCACTTTCACTCACACCGTGGGCAAAATACGAGGTTAGAGGGCACAAAGGCACAGTTTCAATACTCATCAGCCAGATCCTACTGGGTGCCCTATTTGGGCCAAGGTCTTAAAGCAATTCTTCCCAAAACATGAGGCCAAAGCGGAAGTTGCAAATGGGTTACAAGTAGGCCAAACTCTCTACCCCCTGAACCAGAGTCCTGGGTCCAACAACCAGACAGGTCACAAATGGCACCATTTTCTAAGTGTGCCAGGGGAAAAGCTGAGCAATGGTCTCCATGCGGGACGACTCAGAGGGTGCATATGTTTTCATTCTAAGTATTCTTCTTTGTAAGCAGCCTAAGAAGGAAGGATGGTGAGATCTTAGAGCAATCATCTTTCAGAATCTGTAATGCAGCGGATCTGCACTGGTCCTCCTCTCTGTTTTCCTCACCTATGAACGGCCATCAGTGGTTGGTAGTAGTGCTACGAATAGTAAATGCTAAATAAATTCTAGGTATGCCCCAGGCATCGTGCTAAATGCATTTTGTGCCTTAGCTCACTGAATTCTTGGAGTCCTCGATGGTAAGAACTACTACTATCATTCTGTTTTACAGATGGGAAACAAAGGCCCAGAGAGATTAACTTACCCAAAGTCAGCCAGCTATGGGGCAGAGGGGTAATATCGGGACAGCCGAGGACTGTGCATACCATGCCCTGCCTTCCCTACGCCACCCATCTTTCCCCACCAGCCTTCTTATCCATGGCCAACACGTGTGTGTTCATGCTTCAAGGGTTGTAAAAAGCAACAAAGAAGAAAATGTGACAGAAATCCTACGTAGCTCAAAAGCTTAAAACGTTTATTATTGGCCTCTAACAGAAAAAGATCACCGACACCTGAATTCTAGGCCAGTGGCTCTTCAAAGCACGGTCCCGAACCCCACAGCAGAAACACCAGTGAGAGGCCCCAACCCAGACCGGCTTAAATCAGCAACTCGGGGGGTGGGGCGGGGGGCAGGCAGCCACCTGTGCTCCAACAAGCCTTCCAGGCGATTCTGATGCCTGCTCCGGTCTGAGAGCCGCTGAGCCAGGCCCACAGATGTCGTCTCTACGGCAGCACCCCTGTGCCGTCTACACAGCGTGGCTCCAACTCCCTCCTGCAATACCACGTCACTGCAATTCCTCGGGCCCGGCCGCACCCTCCGCACCTGCCAGCCGGCTGTCACCACAGCCCTGCACATCCTCCTTCACGGTCTCCCCGTACTCACTCACTGCTTTCCCTACCTGGCTGGCCCTCTGCAGATCACGCGGATCATCCAAACCCAGCCTGCTCCCCAAGCCCCAGCTCCGCTCACACCGGCTCCAGACAGCTTTCCCTACTGCTGCGGCTTATGATGGCCCTCACTAGTCCACAGTTTAAAACACCTGTCTGTCTATATAGATTGTCTGCCAGTTTCTGTGTGGGATCCCGTGACATCCTATAAGGGAGCCCCCTGCCCCCCACCACCACGTACATTCTCAGAGAAAGACGTCGGCCCCAGGGATACAACGAACCACCTGTTGACCAAGCAACGTGTCCTGCAGGCACTAGAGCTCTTTATCGGGCCCTTCCAAACGAGGGCTCCGTGAGCAGCACCTGCACCTCTTTCTTTCCTCCACTCATTCTATAGTATATACTGAGTCCATGCTGCCATCGGGCCCTGGAGACTCAACAAACAGCCCCTCGTGGGGCTGATGCTTTAAAGCCACCTCTCCGACTGGGGGCCGCCCCTGGGTCCTTAGGAAGTGGCTATGCTTCCTGTTCAATAATCCACACCAGTGAGTCAACTGTACCCCAGGGCCAAAGGGATTTTCCCAGGGCAAGTAAACTAGATGCTATACTAAAAATGACAGTCAGTGGGCAATTTTCTTTTACTACTTTAGGGGAGAACCCCAAATGCATACAGGAATTACCTGTTAACTTTCAGACAGGAAACTTCACTCCACTTCGTCATTTAACCCCCTGAAGCAGCTGCTCAAGGCTGCAAGGTTGAAGCAAGGGCAGGGCCAGGTCCAAGGGCCTCAGCAGAAGGTGGCACGCTTCTCTGCCTTGGCCTTGGGGGCAGTCAGAACCACCCACAGATGGCACATCTGAGTGGCAAGAAGATGTCGAGAAACCCAGCCAAGCTTAAGTTCTACCAGCTCAGAGACTTACAAATTTGGAGTGAAAAGCCCTCATTCTAAGTTCAGAGAATGGTTCTGATGACGGAGGGCCCAGATTTTAAGTAACCACAGAACTGCCAGGAATATTCTTTTCTCCCATGGAATCTACGGTGTGAAACAGCAGCAGCTATCTCAGCATACCCACAGCTCACACGGAGAACTGAATTAGAACTCATCTCTACAATTTCTAGTAACAGAATTTTAAAAGACTTTTTAAAACCATTACCTGGGACACGCCCCTAAATCCCACAGTAATAGCATGGGGGGCGGGGGGCACAACAGGACAGCAATCCTTACCAGAAGGTGCTTAATGATCAGAAGGGACTTAAGGATCATCATCAGTGATGGCCCCAAAATTCATCAAAAGGCTGCAGAACAACAGTAATCAAAAAGCGGTGGATCTGGCTAAGACTCTGCCTGCGTCCAGACTTAGCTGGATCCTCTTGCAAAGTGGAGCCGATAGGCACAAAAACACAGTCTCTCTCAGAAGGCCTTGTTGCCCACCAGAGCAATGCTAGCCTGAGCCACGACGCCATCTGTCCTCCAGGAAGAAGTCTGCACCAAGTCTGTCGGTGATGAGCTAAGCTTCTAGGCCCACTGCTGCCACTAACCACTCTCATCCGCACCTCCTCTATTCCTGTACTTCCTAAAAGAGCAGCATTCACTTCCCTCCTCCCCATTCACTCCTCAACACAAGAAAACCTGGCATCCCCCTTTCCAGAACTGATCGAAGATCTTTGGCACGGAAATGTGTCAGTTCTCTTAATTTAAAAAGTAAAAGTGTATGAAAAGATGCACAACATCATTAGCCATTAGGGAAATGCAAATTAAAACCACAGTGAGATAACAGTTCATACCCACCCGGATGGCTATACTCAACAAGAGCTCAGAACCAGTGCTGGTGAGGATGTATAGAAATTGGAACCTTTATATACTGGCGGGTGGGAATGTACAACGATGTAGCTGGTGTGGAAAATAGTCTGGTGGTTCCTCAAATGGTTAACCACAGAGTTACCATGTGACCCAGGCAATGCCTCTCCTGAAATCCTCCCCAGAGAAATGAAAGCCTATGTCCACACAAAAACTTGTACACAAATGGTCATAGCAACCTTTCTCATAATGGACAAATAAAAAGCCCAAACAACTCAAATGTCCATCAACTGACGGAGGGATCAAAAAAAAAACACATAAAATGGCATACTAATAAACCAACGGGAATAAATTGGGTTCTGATATGTGCTCCAACATGGTCGTTCCCTAAAAACGTTATGCGAAGTGAAAAAAGGCAGGCACAGAAAACTACATGTTGTATCATTCTATTTGTATGCACTATCTGGAGGACACAAATCTATAGACGCAGAAAGTACAACAGTCGTCGTTCTGGGCTTGTGAAAACGGGAATTGGGAGGTGACAACCCAGCACACCGAAAATGTTCCAAAATTAATTGTGATGGATGCACAATTCTGTGGATATATTAAAAACACTGAATTACACACTTTATATGAGAGAATTATAGGATATATGAATCGTATCTCAATAAAGCTCTTACTGAAAAAAGAAAAAAAGAGAGCAAGCCCACCTCCAAAGTTGGGGGTATGAGGAGACAGGCAGATGAGCCTCAGGGGCCCCTGCAGCCCCCGCAAGGACCCACCCCTTCCCCTCTTCCCCACAGCCCAGCCAAGGCCGGGCTGTCCCGTGACTAAGGGCTAACCACAGGCCTACTAACCAAAGGAAATTACATGGAGAAATCTGCCACCAGCTACCAGACATGGCTGCTTTTAAGAGCTCCCCATCCACCTCACAGGCCCTTCAAGGCAAGGCCTGCTTTGCCTGCCAGATGCCAACGTCTCAAACCATCTAAGAACACACAGAACAATAGCCCAGCTCCAGGGGAGATGGAGCAAACAAGCAATTCCTGCAGCTGCCTATCCAACATCCTTGGAGGGACCCATTTCTTACATCAGGAGCATTCTCTTCAGACGATGAGTGAAGCTGGAAACTCCTGTCCCTTCAGGAGCAACACCAGTCCCAACCAGAGATGTCACCTTTTCCTGCAGCCCCACAGGCCAATCCC